TCAAGCAGGAGGGGGGTCACACCATGTGGGCCTGGTGCCTTTCTGATCCTTTGTTTTTTAAAGAGGCTATGCACATTCTTTTCACAGATTGTTAGAGGTGGGGGGGCTAGAGGGAAGGATGGTGATTGTCTGGGGAGCAGCTGCTGGATCTGAGGTGGGGTGGTCTGCTAGTTGACGGTCTTCCACTGCAGGGAGGGATGGTTTCCTATAGCCAGTGACGCTTTTCAGGCTCCCTCACACAGATGAGGGATTGTTGGCTGAAACCTGAGCTTTCAGCTTTTCAGAGTAGTTCTTTGCTGCTCTGATCTCCCTTGTCAGTGTATTCCTTGCCTGGTTGTACAGAGTCCTGTCCCCACTTCTGTAAGCCTCCTCTTTGGCATGACGAAGCTGCTTGAGTCTGGCTGTGAACCAGGACTTGTTGTTATTGTATGTGCAGAAGGTCTTTTGGGGCACACACACATCCTCACAAAAGCTGATATAAGATGTGTCAGTGAATTTGCCTAGGTCTGTAGCTGCAGTCTCAAATACACTCCAGTCTGTGCAGTCAAAGCAGGCCTGTAGCTCTAACTTAGCCTCCTCAGTCCAGCTCTTCACTATTTTGACTACAGGCTTCGCAGCTTTAAGTTTCTGCCTGTAGGTTGGAATAAGATGGATCATACAGTGATCAGAGAGTCCGAGGGCTGCGTGGGGGACAGAGCGATAGGCGTCTTTTATTGTTGTGTAGCAGCAATTATTATTGGTATTTCCTGGTTCAGATGCAGATTTTTCTAAAAGTTTGGAAGTGTTCTCTCACAGGAAAATAATAGTCCAAATAGGGCATCACTGTGCCTCACCTTTCATGTGTCACTGACAGTCATTTGGCTAGTTAGTGTTAAGAGAATACTATAGTAACTTTAACCTTTATAGGCGAAGCATGAACATTTGACTTTTTTCACCATAACACTTCAACAGTGTTCATTCCAAATGATAGGTAGGTGGGTGGGTAGGTAGAACTTTATTGATCCCAGAGTGGGAAAATTCCAGTGTTCCAGTAGCTGTAAAGGACAAACCAACATGACACCATAAGAATAAACACCCCACACATTTCTTGAGAAAACAAGATCCAGGTACCTGAAAAACCAAACAAAAATATATTTCAGAGACAATCAAGAACAAGAATTGACCTCCCACAGTTTGTCCCTGAAACACAAGTCAAAAAAGATACCTAGGAACAAGACAAAAAAGAATAGTATTGAGAGGAATCAAGAAAACAAGCAGGAAATCAAGAACAATTGAATATTACTTTCACAATTAATCCCACAATGGGGCAAACAAACCTGTGTTTCAGCCATAAGAATTTCTGAGGAACTACTCAAAAATACCTAAAGCAGGGCAATGTACAGTATTTGAGAAAGATCCGGAACAAGATATTACACATGAGCCTATTTACAATGCATTTCACCCCCAGGAGCTGAATATTGCACCTCAGTCGACTATTGCATAGTCCCTCATAATTTCACCTATCTTATCACTGCAGTGATGTGTTGTACTGTACAGTCTGATGGCTGTGGGGAGGAATGACCTGCGGTAACATTCCCTCTTACACTGGGGATGTAACAGTCTCGTGCTAAAAGAACTGTTCAGAGCCTCTACTGTGTTGTGCAGGGGATGAGAGGGGTTATGCATGATGGGTTTTAGTTTCGCCAGCATCCTTCTGTCCGCCACCTCCTCGATGGAATCCAGAGAGCAGTCCAGGACAGAACCAGCTCTCTTAACCAGCTTGTTGAGTCTCTTCATGTCCCTGTCCATGCTACCTCCTGCCCAACCCACAACAGCGTAAAAAACTGCAGATG